GATCGGGGCTTACCCAGTGCAGGTGTGTTTTCTTCCTTCTGGTAGCCAGGGGTCCGCAGTCCGGTCCGCGACCACACTGTCTGGGGGCTCGAGGCATCACTCGACTTGTGGCCTCATCAGCCCAACTTCCGCCACTGTTGTCACGTGGTATTCTCCCCGTGTCTCTGTGTCCACATTTCTTCTTGCAAGGACACCGATCATATCGGCTTAAGGGCCCACTTGATTTCTAGAATGACCTCATGTGAACAATTTGACATGTGGTAATACGGTTATATTCTGAATTATTAGGCGTTAGGACTTTGACATCTTTTTGAGGGACACACTTCAACTTATAACAGTCCACACTCTGGCCCCCCAAAATTTGTGTGCTTCCCACATGCAAAACACATTCACCCAGCATCCCCAGAAGTCCTAAGCCTTTCCCGCACCGCCTAAGCTTACATCGACCCCGCACCTCAGAGTTTGGTGTCTGAGTAGCATCTGAATCGGGCGAGAGCAAGACCGAATGCAGCTCATCGAGGGCAGTCCCTCCCCAGCTGTGAGCCCGGGGGAGCCAAGCATGCGAGCAAAGTGTGGGCCAGAGCCCTCCGTCCCCAGTGGACGACTTGTCAAGGAAGAAGGGGGTCACAGGCTCAAAGCAAGTCCGAAAGCCAGCAGAGGGACTGCCCCGGTCTCGAGGCTGTCTCCCATCTGCCGGAGTGCACCCACCCTGCAGGCGGGCCCTGCACTGCGGCTCTGCCCGCGGAGCCCTCCGCAGCGGGCCGGCTCTCTCCCTTTTAGTGTGGGCTGCCGTAAAATTCTCAGGAACCTGGTCTTCCATGCGGCTCCCGGGCGCCTGGCCGTGGCCCTCACGTGCACACTTCCTGGACAGCCTCGTCTCTGTCCTGGCTCTTCTGAGGCCGCCGGCCGGCTCCAGCGTCGGAGCTCAGGTCTCTGGCGCCCTCTCGGCTCTGACCCTGCCGCGTCCCTGCCGGCTTGCTGTCCCCCGTGCCGCCCCTCCCGTGCTTGTGGAGTGGCCTCCGCTCAGCATCTCGGTGCATTGGTTCATCGTGCTCGGGTGTGTGTCCCGCCCAGCAGAGCTGTGCACAGACGGGGCTCTGCTGCCACGTAGCCGGGCCGCGCTTCTCGTTTGCTGTGGCCTCTTCCTCCTTCTGACCCCTCTCAAGGGTGGCTTTCCGGGCCGTGTCCCTGCCAACAGTCTCTCCGGGGCAGTTCAGGCTTCTACAGGCATGCAGCCCGCAGCCAGCCTCTGCCTGTCACCCAGCTCCAAGGACTCACACTTCTGGGAATTTGCTACAACAGCACCCCTTCCTGGGACCAAAATGTGTCCCTTTCTCGTGGTTGCTGTAACAAAGTGCCATGATGTGGGTGCTTACAACGATAGAGATCTTTTTCTCTGTCCTGGAGGCCAGAGCAGAGGTCAGGGCGTCAGCAGGGCTGTGCTCCTCCGAAGGCTGCGGGAGAGGGTCCAGCCCCGTGAGCATCTGGGGCTGCAGGCCACCTGCGGTGTTTCTCGGCTGTGGCTGCGTCGCTGCCGTCTCTGGCTCTGTCTTCACACCGTCTTCCCTCTTACGAGGGCACTGACTGTGCTGCGTCAGGGCTCGCTGCAGTCCCATGACCTTGTCTTAGCCCCGTCCGCACCGGCCTTGTCTCCAACCCAGACCTCATTCTGAGGCCCGAGGGGTTAGGGTGTTGGACGCCTTTCCAAGACCCTTAACTCACTGTCCAGTCCTAGTAGATGGTGGTAGTTGAGGGGTGGGAGCTGGAGCCCTGTCTTCTATCCGTGCTGCTGCTGACTGCAGGGAGGGGGGCAGTGAAGGACCCCTCCCCGCCCCTGGTGCCAGGTAGCGGAGCCTCGTTCAGCTGGGCTCAGCCAGGCCCTCGGGCTGCTCGTGCTGACTGCGGCCCTCCCCAGGCCATGCGGACCCTCAGCTGGAAGCACACCCTGGGCCTGGTGACCATGGACGTGGAGCTAGCCGATCGGACCTTGTCTGTGGCGGTGACTCCCGTGCAGGCCGTGGTTTTGCTCTACTTCCAGGACCAAGGTGAGCCCGTTGGGCCCCTGCCAGCCTGCCCCCGCCTTGCCTCCCAGGGGGCTGGTGCCAGGCGCTGCTCTGTGCAGTGGCGGGGGTGGCGGGGGCAGGACTCCGCCTCCTGAGGCCCCCTGGGTCCTGCTGCCCTCTGGGATGATGAACTGGGCTGACTGACCGGGCCCAGTGCCTAGTGCTCCCGGCCCCTCTGCGCAGCCAGCTGGACCCTGGAGGAGCTGAGCAAGGTGGTGAAGATGCCCGTGGCGCTGCTGCGGCGGCGCATGTCCGTGTGGCTGCAGCAGGGCGTGCTGCGGGAGGAGCCTCCCGGGACCTTCTCTGTGGTGGAGGAGGAGCGGCCCCAGGACCGAGACAGCATGGTGCTCATTGACAGCGACGACGAGAGCGACTCGGGCATGGCCTCCCAGGCCGACCAGAAGGAGGAGGAGCTGCTGGTGCGGCCGGGGGAGGGGGCGGTGGCCTGGCTTAGCCTCTGGTGTGGCGGCCACGCGCGCGCCGTGGGGTGGCCTGACGGCCGGCCTGGCCTCTGTCCCCCCAGCTCTTCTGGACGTACATCCAGGCCATGCTGACCAACCTGGAGAGCCTGTCGCTGGAGCGCATCTACAGCATGCTGCGCATGTTCGTGGTGACGGGCCCCGCGCTGGCCGAGATCGACCTGCAGGAGCTCCAGGGCTTCCTGCAGAGGAAGGTGAGGGACCAGCAGCTGGTCTACTCGGCCGGCGTCTACCGCCTGCCCAAGAGCTGCAGCTGACGCGCCCGCCGGCCCTTCCCGTGGGCCCCCACCTGGAGGATGGGGGCGGGCAGAGTGCAGAGTAAAGCAAATGGTTCTCTGTCAGTTCACTGTCCTGGTGGCTCTGTGGGCCCGTCGTGGGGGTGTGGTCCAGGTTTGCCTTCGCACTGGCCGCTCCACCTGCACCCAGCAGGGCCTGGCTCCCTGGGAGCAGGTGCGGGCCACACACGAGTGTCCAGGCCCAGCCCCGCCTGCACACCTGTCACTGGGCTCCAAACCCGCAGTCTGGCACATAGATGTCCCTGAGCCGCACCTGCTGGGACACACCTGAGACCGGTTCTGCCGGGGCACACGGGGGCCTCCAGCTCCCAAACCGCACTCCAGCATTTGAAAGGAGCCCTCAGGTCACCTTTCCCCTTCACGGCTTGAGGGTCCAGGGCTGCTGATGGGACACGTGGATGCCCCTGGAATTCGTGAGGTGGCGGGCAGCTGAGCAGCCCCCCTCCCGGACCAAGAACCTCCGGCGTCCCCGGGGCCCGTGCAGCAGCCCAGGCCAGCAGCGTCCAGAGCACATGAGAGGCGCTGGCACCGCCCGCAGCCCCAGAGGTCGCGGAGGGCGGGCGGTCTTCGCTCTGGCTCCACGGCCCGCGGAGCAGGAGGCTGCGTGCCGCCGGTGGCGCTCGCCTCCCGGGCAACAAGGCCCCTTGGAACGAGTCTCCAGCCTCCTCATCCTGTTCCCGCCCAACCACGTGCCTTCTCAGGCCCTTAGTCACGTCCGTTGTCCCCAGGACACTCTCGGGCAACACCCCCCCCCCCCGACTGCCTTCCAGCGCCTCCCCTACCTCTCCGCTTTGACCTGTTCCCCAGGGGCCCTGGTGTCGGTCCTTGCTGGGACCCCCTCTCCAGAGTGTCCTGTTGGCCACGGGTTTGGACGAAGTGGCTGGATTGTGACGAGCCAATGTTCGCCTCACTCGGGCTCCCACCCCACCCCCGAGGCTGCTGTGCTGCGGCCACTAGAAGGGGGCTTTCCTGACCTTTGCTCAGCGCTCTGGTGGAGGCCCCAAGGTCCCGACACCCGCCCTTCCGGGCTGAGTTCACTTCCGTCATCCTAACCAGGATGCAAACTGGCTAGACTGGTCTGGCAGGGCCGGCGTGTCACCTCCTGGACACAGGAGCACCTGCTTCATGTCCCTGTGGACTTGGTTTGTTAACGAATGTGATTAAAAAAAAAAAAAACCAACAGCAACAAAAAACCCCCTGTGTTTTGGGTCCCAGCATCACGCAACAGGCACTGCCGGCTGGTCCCCGAGGCGCGTCCTGCACCAGCAGCACACACCTGTGTCAGAAGAGTCAGGGCGGCCCTCGATGACAAGGGGTCCGCCAGGGCCCCTGGTGCCCTGTGGAGTCAGTCGTGGGGGGGGGGGGACAACTCCCCCTGCTGCCCGTGGTTTGCTGGCCTAGGTCCCTAGGGGAGGAGGGAGGAGGCTCAGGTCAAGCCCCACAATGCCAGCCTGCAGGTGAGTCCCTCAGGCAGGAAGGTGCACAAGGAAGAAGCCCTTGGGGACAGGGGGGCTCTACTAAGTGACACAGTCAACCGGGAGCCTCACGTGCTGCCTGCAGCCACTTCTCAGCCAGACGCACCTCGTGGCTGTGGCTGTGGGAAGGCCTGTGGGCAATGCCCCCACGGCTCCTGGGGGACTGGAGAGCCTGGCCGTTCCTCCGGCCTCAGGCCCTGCTGAGGGATCCCCCTTGGGGCAGGATCCTCCCCAGCACTGCCAGTGCGAGGGGGGCCAGCGAGCACAGGCCCGTGTTTTGCCCCTCTGTGGCCCTTGCTCGTGCCAGCCTTGGAAGGATGGTGGCATTGGTGAGCTGGGGCCCAGGCCTCACCTGAGCTGTCGTCGTCCCTGAGAAGCAGCACCCCCCACCCAGGGTTTCCAGGTCATTGTCTCCACTATCCCAGGAGCCTAAGGGTGGCCTCCACCCCCTTCCCTGCAGGGCACCATCCCCTGAGGCCGGAGCCAGCGACACTGGGAAGCCTGGGAAGCGGCTCCCAGGCCCCATCCACCCTACCTGCCCCGCCCCGGGTCGCCCGCCCAGAGCTCCTCTGCTCCCACATCAAAGTTCAAGTGAAGCTCCGGTTGAAGCCCTGACCACCCCTCACCGCCCACCCCCGCCCTGCTCCACAGCCCTATTGTGAGGTCAGCGCCTTCCGATGGGTTCCGTCCAGAGGTGTGTGGTGGGGCTGGGGGCTGGACATGGCCCCCTGTCCCCAGCCTGACTCCTGCCTGGCTGGTGGCCCCCTTGGCCTGATATGTCTGTCCCTTTTGCTCATCCCTGCTGCAGGTGCCTCCTCCGGCCCCTGAACCCTGCCCCAGCCAGGGCCCCTCCCGGGGTGAGGGGCGGCCCCGGGGGCCCTCCACTGGCGGGTGACGAGGGCCCCTCGGCCACACGGGCCCTGTCTCTGCAGCTGGGACGTACTGCGAGTGCAGCCTCGGCCTCAGCCGCGAGGCCCTCATTGCCCTGCTCGTGGTGCTGGCGGGCGTCGGTGCCAGCTGCTTCTGCGCCCTCGTCATCGTGGCAATCGGTGCCCTGAGAGCCAAGGGGTGTGTTGAGCCCCAGGGCAGGGAGGGTGGGTGAGGACCACGGGGCCCTGCTGGGAGAGGGGACTCTGCCCCAGGTGGGAGATCAGCATTGCTGGGGGACGCCATTTCCCAGGCTGGGCTCTGAAGAAGTAGGGGCCCCGCTCCACTGCTCCGGGACTCACACCATCCTTTGTCCCCCAGACACGTACATACCTGCCGCAGACACGTGGACCGCAGGTGAGCAACCTCAGGGGAGGAACCCACTGGTGAGCTGTGCCCCTGGGAGGTGTGGGTCACAGATGCATCGGGTGCACTGACTTGAGAGCCAGGCCTGCCCTGGGAGGGGGTCGAGGTCTCGTGAGCCTGTGCGGGTAGCAAGCCTGACGCGGCCCGTGTCATGCAGGATGGTGGGGCACCTCGGGGTCCAGGAAGACCACATGGATCTGCACACAGTGCACATGGAGTCCCACCTCACGGACCCTGACGTGGAGGTCTCCGTGATTCCTCCCCTGGAGGATCATGGCCTCATAACCATCCCCATGGACCCGATGGCCCCAACTGTGACTCTAGAGGAGCCGTCCCCTCTCACCCCCCCCAACCTGAACAGGACTTCGGGCAGCCTAGGGGAAGAGAATTAAACAGTATTTAGTGCGCCTGCCCTGTCCTCCCTGCGGGCTCCTCCTGGAGCCGCTGTGCAGCTGCGTCAAGGGGTGAGGAGGGGTGTGTGTGCACCTAAGTCATCTCCTTTATCACAGGTGGAGGGGGGTGCCCAGTGCCTGCACAAGTGCCCACTTCAGCCTGCAGGGCAGGAGCCACAGCCCAGGTGTTTCCCTCTCCTCCGCCACGGCCTCGCTCCAGCGCCCCCCTGCACCCTCCCGCCGCCTGGCCGCATGAAGCTGGCGCAGCTCCTTCGTCCCTGCCCGCCCCACCCCCACCCCGGAAAACCCCAGGACAGGATGTGCACCTCTGGCGACTCCAGCGGGAGCATTTGACAGGAGAACTTGGGCCTGTGCCTGTGCCCTGCCCACACTGTCTCCTTAAGGTTCAGGGGAGTCTCACAGGGCCAGGCAGGGCAGACATAACTGTCCCCGCTCCACCCGACAGCCTATACCCCGGGGCTCAGGCTCCCATCATGTGCTCCTGACCCCACCCATCACCCACTATGGGGATGGGACCATCTCTGTGGAGGGGGGTGCACTGTGTGTGCCAGGGCCACTTTGCTGGGGAGGAGACAGGCAGGGACGAGTGAGCAGGGGGGCCCACTGGGTCCCATTCCACGTGTGACATCCAGGAGTTTGGTGTGTGTGTGGGGGGGGGTCATCCAGCGGCCTAGGCCTCAGGGGGTGCAGGGTAGTGGATGCCACAGGGGAGGAGAGGCGCGGCTTTTCGTTGGCACCGCAGCTGGCACAGAGCCAAGAGGAACCCAGCTCCGGGACAGGTGGCTGGTAGTGCACGGTGCTGGGCATCCGCCCAGCCCCCGCCCTGGGCGCGGGACCAGCCGTGGAACAGGAACTGTGGGCACTCGGGCTGGAGAATTAATATTTGTGCAAGCGCGGCAAGGACGCACTGGCTCCGTGAACGCACGAGCAGCAGGCCTCGAGCGCTGCCCCCATGCGGACCCTCTCCTCTCTCGCGCGGCGGCCGTCGCCAGTGTTGCTGCTGCTGCTGCTGCTGCTGCCGCCGCCGTGGCCAGTCTGTGCCCAGTTGTCCGCCGCGGCCGCCACCCGGGGAACCCCAGGCGCCCAGGACTGCCCGGAGGCGTGCGCGTGCGCGCCGGGCGGTCAGGCCAACTGCTCGAGGCGCGCGCTACCCGCCGTGCCCGCGGGCCTGAGCCGGCGCGTGCGCGCGCTGCTGCTGGACCATAACCGCGTGCGCGCGCTGCCGCCCGGCGCCTTCGTGGGCGCTGGCACGCTGCTGCGCCTGGACCTGCGCGAGAACGGGCTGCGCTGGGTGCACGCGCGGGCCTTCTGGAGCTTGGGCGCGCTGCAGCAGCTCGACCTCAGCGGCAACCAGCTGGAGGCGCTGGCGCCCGGCACCTTCTCGCCCTTGCGCGCGCTGCGGTCCCTCTCGCTGGCGGGCAACCGGCTGGCGCGCCTGGAGCCCGCGGCGCTGGGCGCGCTCCCGCTGCTGCTCGCGCTCAGCCTGCAGGACAACGAGCTGTCGGCGCTCGCGCCGGGACTGCTGGCCGGCTTGCCCGCTCTCCGCGCACTGCGTCTGCGCGGCAACCCCTGGGTCTGCGGCTGCGCGCTGCGCCCGCTCTGTTCCTGGCTGCGCAGGCACCCGCGGCCGGCGCCAGGTGAGCCCTCCGGGTGAGGGTGGGCGGGCCGGGAGCCGTGCCCACGGTCCCTGTTGCCGCCGCCACCTGACTCTGCATCTGTGTCCCGCAGAGGCCGAGACGCTGCTTTGCGTGTTGCCAGGGCGACTGACGCTCAGACCCTTGACCGCCTTAACGGACGCCGCCTTCAGCCGCTGCGCGCAGTCGCTCGCCCCGCGGGACCTGGCCGTGGTCTGCGCGCTCGGGCCCGTCTCCTTTCTCGCCAGCCTGGCCGTCTGCCTGGCGCTGGGCTCCGTGCTCACCGCCTGCCGCATGCGCCGCTGCCGCGCCACCGCCCTCGGCCTGCGGAGGAGAGCGCTGGACCCCGGCCCTGGGAGCCCCGCGGCCGCTGCTCAGGCCTGAGCGGGCCTCGGCTGTTCTCAAATCTTCCCCCGTCCCCTGCCCTCCTTCACACCCACTGCAGGCGTCAACAAGCGACACAGAAAGTTCCGTGACATTCCTTTAGACATCACCACTGCACACACCGGGTCAGGGGGCGGTGCGCGCCGGGCCCCTTGGGCGGAGGGGCAGCGCGCGGCTGCGCACGGGCCGCACGGGGAAGGCACGCGCTCGACACGGGAAGGGCTGGGCCTGTACAAGTCGGCGGGCGGGGCTGAAGACAGTCCCGAGCCAGCGTCGTGGGGAAGCCTATCCTGGGCTGCGGGCTGGAGGCGGCGAATAGCTGGCCCAGCCCTGGTGGGGACTGGAGAAGGTCGGAGGCGGTGGGGGGATCCCAGCGCGCTCCTGGGAGACAGCTGCCAGCTGAGGGTCAGAGTCTGCCAGTGGGGGACGGGCAGGGCCAGCCGGATGGACGGGGTCAAGCGGAGAAGGGAAGAGGGTCGGAAAAGAGAGGTGGAGCCGAGGCTGCCAGGAGCAGGCGCTGGAGGAGGGGGTGACCCAGCCAGTTGGGGCCTCGTACCCCCACTGTGGCTCTGGTAGTGGCTGGAGAAGGATGGGGCTTCAGTCTCTGCTCCCAGCCCCTCCGGCCAGGGTAGCCCCTCTCCCCACTGCTTCGAGACCCCAGGGCCCTGCCTCTGCCGGAGTGCCCTGTGGCCCTGCCCAGCCAGCTCAGCTCTGGCCTGTCCTCAGCCGCTCTGGTCCGAGCCTCGGTCCAGCAGGGGCTGCCCGCCCGGCAGCAGGGCGGACAGACAGACGGGAGGCCCAGGGTGGGCAGTCTTGGGCGGGTGGGCTTCCCTCAGGCCTTCCCGAGCAGCAGGACCCATCAGTGTCCTTGGCCGGGCTAACTGGGCAGGTGGGCGCCTCCGGGGGCCTCACACCACGGTGCTGACCGAGGGATCTGAGAGGTTGAGCGTGCCCGTGATATCAGTGGGATGGTACTGCTGCAAAATAGAAATACACAGACAAGGCAGCCCGTTAGCCCCCTGCTCGGGGGCACGCGCAGGGCCGGGACGGGTGGACCGGCCAGCCGGCCGACCGGCGGGCGGGCGGGCGCGGCCTGGGGGAGGCTGGGGGGCGCTCCTCCCCCTGACCCCGTCGTGCTCCGGGACTCTGCGTGGGCCGGGCCGCTGTCCCGTCCATCTGTCTGTCTGTCTGCGGGGGAGGGGGGCAGAGGAGGGCGGGCAGGGCGTCTCAGCTCTCCCTATGACGGGCACACATCTGCAGCTGGCCCTCCTCCCTCTCAATAGCGCGTCGCGGCAGCACTGTGTCTTTTTGGTTTTGCAAAGCGCCGCGTCCACCCCCGGTGCTCTATAAATAAGAACCAACAATCAATACCCGCTGGCCCCGCCGGCCGCCAGGGACCCCAGCCCTGAGCGCCCAGTGCTGCCCTGGCCCAGACCGGCCATAGGACAGGGGCAGAGGATCTTAGCAGCCGGACCGACCCCACCCCTCCCAACAGAGCCCCCCACCCAGGCCTCCCTCCAAGCAGGCGCCCAGCCGGAAACGGGGAAACTGGGCTGCCCTCCCCCGCCCAGCCCCTCCAGCTGGCAGTACCCCGTCACCCCTACTGGGCAGAGCCAGCCCCAGATGCCACATGGCGTCAGGGCTGGCCTGGGGGATGGTCCCTGGTGTCCACAGAGGCTCAGGCAGAGTCTGTTGGGAGTGTGTCCCCAGAAAGGCACCTCGAAGGTCTCTGAGCTGTACCTGGACCAGCTAATAAGGGCGTGTGTGTTACCTTTGGGTGGGACTGTTGGGAGGTGGGGGTACTCAAGGACGCTCTCAGAAGTTACCTGCGTAACTTTTGTGCTCCTCCCAAAAGTGCTCTCTATGGGATTCCTTCTCTCCAGGCCTGCCCCGCCCCTCCTCCTCTCTGGTCCTGGATTTCTCCTTGAACCCCTTGGCAGGGCGCCTGGCTCAGGCTCTGCACGCTTCTGGGTTCCCAGCTCCCCGACCCTCACTTTCCACCCCCTCCCAGTGCTGAGCTCCTCCTGGGAAGCAGAGCAGCCCAGGCCCCATGGGCCTCTCTAGGGGCCCCCTGATGGCTTCTCCCTGGACTGCAGTTATTCTGTGCCAAGCCCTGTCTGTGTCCTGAAGATGTGCCCGCCTTCCAGTGGACTGTGCGTGAGTGTGTGTGTGTGGGTGGAGGGGGGGGGTAAGTCCTATTTCCACCTTGGAGCATAAGCCCCTGCAGGACGCAGGCCAAGCTGGCCCCTGGATTGCAAGGAGGCCAAGGGCAGTGCTAACTCTGGGCAGCCCCCTCCCCACCTTGGACTGGGTGCCCCTAGCAAGCCTGGGTCTCTTTTAGGGGCTTTTATTCCGAGTGTGCACATTTGGTCAGTGACAAGCTGCCCCAGTTAAGAGGCCGCCTCTGACGTGGCCCTGTGGGGAGGGGCTGGAGGGTCAGGAGCGGAGGTGCTGGTCTCCTCCACAGAGGCCTCCTTCCTGGGCCTCTGTCTGGGAGCCTCAGTGACTCTGGCTCTGGAGGCCACAGCTCGGCCTGGGGTGGGTTCCACCCCCTCTGGTGCTACCCGGTCCCCGCCTGACAGCCCCCTGTGGCTGGGGGCCTGGTGCAACTCCAGGCCCCAGCCGTCCACCCAGACGGAGCCGGGCCCGGCCCCCAGCCCCGGCCCACACAGAGACCACATGGAAGGGGTGCAACAGGCATGGCTCTGGTGAGACACGTGAGACAGGTGTCTGCGTGGTGGGGCTGGCGGCCAGACAGACGGGCGGATGGGACATCACAGCCACCCCTCCATGGATGCTGCAAGGGGTGGGAAAGAGGGCAGCGGGCCCCTCTGGGAGAGGCTGGAGAAACGGACGTAACAGAGAGGTGGTGTGGCCTCCCGACAGCGAGGAGTCTGGGACAGACTGGCGCCGGGCTCCCAGGGGCCCTGGGCACAGCCCCGAGGTAGTGAGGCTGACTGGCTGACCAACAACATGACACAGCTTCAAGATGGCGCATGGCGTCATGGCATGGGGGGCAGACCAACGCAGAGACACATGGAGAAAGAGCGCCCAGTGAGGGCCAGTGGGAGAAAGGACCAAGAAAGGTCTAGAGAGTCAGAGAGTGAAGACCTCGTGTGCTGGGCAAATAGAGATGAGGGCAGAAGGGCCACAGCGGTCAGAGGTGGGGGGGATGGGATGGTGAGGGAGAGGGCACGCCTGATGCACGGGACACAGACACGGGGGCGGGGCGAGATAAGAGTCGGAGACGTGGGACTGGGCGTTCTTCCCCTTACCGTGTCTTTGGAGGACCTACGTCTCTTGAAGCTGGAGGCCAGGGTGGAGGTGATAGCCCTAAATGTGGCTTTCTTTTTAGGGTCGGGCTCTGCTCTACCACTCTTTCTATCCTAAAATGAATATGTATAAGTGATTAGACGGCTGAGGGTGGCGGCCACACCTGCCCTCGCCTGCTTCTCGGGGGCTGCTGCCCAGCCTGGCCGGCCGCTCGGGCCCTCGCTCCTGCCTGCCTCCCTGTGCTGGACAGACGCGCCAACGGCCGAACACGTGCAGGCAGCCTCTGCTCCTGCCCGGTCTTGGGCCTGACCTTGCTCCTGCTGGGGCTGGGCTTGGGGGGAGGGGAGTCCCGTCTGGCTCTCTTCCTGGGAAGTCTGCCTGGCTCCTGGGTGGCCCTGGATTACAGGTATCCCAAGGAGAAGGGTTCCCCAAGCACTGGATGAGTCGCCCCTCAGAGCCTGCCAGCCATCCTGTCCCCTGGGGTCGCAGGCCAAGATTCGGGAAGGGGCTGAGGGGCCAAAGGCAGGTGGCGAGATGAATTGGAGAGATAGATAGATGGAAGTGGCTTCCAGACCCTGGCCTGGGGTCTGATGGCCAGGATGGCCCTGTGCCAGCCAGTGAGAGCAGTGACCAGGTCCCAAGAGCAAGAGTAGGCAGATGAGAGGTGTGGGGGCTCCAGCAACCCGTTCCCCCCCCCGCCCACCACGGCCCTCCCTCTCTGAACATCAACTTCATCCCAGAACACAGGCTCTGGGGAATCACCCAGAGAAAGAGAAGAGATGAAGCAAGCCAGAACTGGACCCTGGGGCTTGAGCCCACAGGCCTGCATGGGGCCCCCTGCCTGCCCTATTCCGGGTGGGCTGTGGCTGCCCCGTGTGCAGCCTGTTTCCTGCTGGCAGCAAGTTCCTGCACACACGGCCTGGGGTGCCAGGCAGGGCCAGCCGGCCCGAACCAGGCTGGACTTACGGAGCACAGGACAGAGCAGGGGAGCAGGGAGGGGGGTCCCTGGAGGGTGTCGAGGAGAGGCATGGGGCGGCGAGGGCAGAATGTCTTGGACTCACGTGCTCTACCCAGGTGGGTCCCTGTCTTATCCTGCCTCAGTTTGCCTTCCTATGGAATGGGTGCCGGCGGGCGACTCTGGAGACAGAGGGGCCAGGCGGAGGCTTGGAGCCGGGCTTTGCAGGGGGCAGCCACCTGCAGGTGGCCACCCAGCAGCGCTGCCCCTGGCTGTAGCTCCTAGCTCCAGTCCGGCCCACATGGGCTCCCGGGAGCCAGAGCCAGTGCTTCGGCCTGCAGGAATGGAGGAGGGCCGGGGCCGGGCCGGGCCGTGGGCACCAGGCCTCGGAGGGTGGCCTGTCCTACCTGCAGGTTCTTTCTCCACACGTTCACCGCGGCAAAGGCTAGCTGCATCTGCTTCCGGCGAGCGTCCTTGTGTCGCTTGTAGGCGATCTCAATGAAGATCAGGAAGATCCCGGCCACGATGCCCCCAGCCACCAGCATGAAGACCCCTGTGGGCCAGGACCCAGGGCCTTAGCTGTCGGCTGGCTGGGCCGCAGGCCCCTTGGAGAACCCCACCGGTGTCCGCAGGGGAGCGGAGGGCGATGGGGAGACCTACCTGCCATGTTCTCGAACGTAAGGGTAGCAGGAGCATTGCTGCGCGAGTCACACTCCTGGTACCGCACCCACGTCTTGTCTAGATCTTCCATGAAGCCGTTTTCATGGGACCTGGGAGGGGGTGGGCCGGAGCGGGCGGGACGCATGAGCGGGGGCGGGACGCATGAGCGGGGGCGGGGCGCACGAGCGGGGGCGG